CTCCATCCTGGAATGTGGAAGAAGTTACCATGTGATGCCGAATGTTTGGTAACAGGGATTTTATTGAATCTGTTAAGTCAGGGCTAGTAACAAAATACAGAGAACAAGCTGAGTGTACAACAACATGCACTGAGCAAGGACTGAATTAACCGACCCATTAAAAACTGGGTAACGTTTTCATGTGGTTTGCTCCATGCCAGGTACCAGCCTTTTACATAAGCCCTCTCTCTGTAGAGAGATAAATTTCATTGTCTAATCTCTTGCATAAAGGATTTATTATGGAGTCATAATTACTGTGTCAAAGGGATCGAGGTTTAGGCAAGTATTGCGAGATGGGGAACAAACTGGTGCAGGGGAGGGTGTTTGTACTGCAGGGAAAACTGAGTTGGAGGCAGGAGTCATGACACACTCATGGCTTCTCATCCACGACCTTGGCATAAAAAAGTAAGAGTATGTATCTGACATGTTTGTGGTGAAACCAGCCTGGGAGCCATCAAACAATAACCTGGGAAGAGGAGGATGAGAAATGCGTTGCACAAGATGAGCTCTAGAACTTTGTGCTTAAAATTTTGTAGCGGTAGACTGGGAGGGCTGGCATGTGCCTCCATGGGCAGAACTTCTGTTGTGAAACGGGGTTCCTCAGCTTGAAGAGGAAAACTAACGGGTGACTGGGTTGGTGCAGGGGCATGGCAAGTGGGAACTTAGCTGTAAGAGATGCTTCTAGCACAGTTGGGTGGTGCTGGTGCCGTTACAGACGGTGTTTTGCGATGCTTTGCACAGCGAACGAGTGGAACAAAGAAAGGTGTTTTTAAGAAAAAAAGACATCACGGGGGAGACGCTTCAGGCGGGCCCAGGAGATGATCGAGGTGGAAGTGCTGGGTGATGTGACACGGCTTAGTGAGTCTAAGCAATGGGAATGCATCCAGAAAATAAGCTCCAGGGTTGAGGAGGAGGAATTGTTGAATCTGAAGGATGATTTGGGCTTCCAAGACTCTGAGCAACTTTGCATTAGGTGCAGTGAGAATTAGAAACCTGGCTGGGCTGAAGGTAATGCTTTTATACCAGTACCTCTTGTTTCAAGGTGTGAGAGGATCCAGGAAGTTCCTTCCAGTTCTGTGGTTTCTCTGTGGCAAAGTAGTTTAATTAATTGAATCTAAACCCTTGTCGTACAGAGAAAGATGAAATTAATTGTAGAACTGATAGCTTATATCATGGCTTAATTTAAATCTTACCCAAACAGAATCAAGTTCAAAGCACTGAAATTATTTTTTGAAGTTGTGATAAAACTGTAAATAATTGAGTCAAGTCAGTTCAGCCGTGAAACTTTAGTTCTTTTGCTGGATTGGGATTTGTCTGGGGACTGGCCTGAGCATCTGTGTTGTGGGAATGAGGAAGTTGCTTGTATGTTAAATGTAGTTCCTCACAGCTTGCTGATGGGACTTGTTGCCTTCTTTCTCTGTGGCTTTGCTGTCCTTTCCTCATTTGCTGCCTCCTTTTTCCTGCTTTGTCTTTGCAGTGTCTCCTTCCAATTCCTGGAAGGTTGCAGCCTCCCAGTGTAACTTGTCCCCCTGTCTTGCTTACATGGTTTGTGTTGGTAGCTCTTCTTGTTTCTGCTTTTTAAAGAGAAGGCCTCGGTATGAAAAACTCCCCTACACCAATAACCAGAGACCCTAAATTCAACTGTTTTATTGATCTCTGATTGAAAAGCTTGAGCTGAGATCCGTTCCTGATGCTGAAAACACTTTCTCTTGTCTCCCTAGGCTCAGTACTGCGGGTTGCTGTTCCGCCACGCGGGCTGGCCCCTGTGTATCCACGAGAAGATTGTAATCCAGCTGGCTTCCATTGACTGGCGAGTCTTGGAGCCTGGTGACTTCTACCTGCAGGTGGTCCCCCATGAGAAGAAGTCTCCACGAATTGTATTGAAATGTTTGGCAAAAGACAAGCATAATGTAGAGGAAGTGGTGATTCCAGAAGTTTCATATACCTCTATTTTTACTCTGGAATGGCTGAGTACGTTCAATGGAGAGCGGATGGGTATAGCACTGGAAAATTGTTTACTAACCACTGATGATAAAATATTTCGTATCCCCTGGGATAAAGTGGTTAATCCTGAGTTTATAAACAAACCAAAAATAATTGAAAACAGTATCATCTCTCCAGAAATAACAGAGGAACGTTCCATTTTGTGCCTCCCCACTGAGCACAGTTCACCAGACCTGGGCTCTCAGTATCTGCAGGAACAACACACAAATCGAGACAACCTGGTCATTAGCAGCACAGCTCCACAGTTAAGTGGGGCTCTTGTCAATGGTGTCTGTACCAGTCCTGTGCCTCAAGAGAATTTGACAAGTGACCTTGAAGGGGAGTACGTTGAGCTGGCAGAAGTTTCGCTGCCCAGGTTTGGGTCACAAACAGGCTCTTTAACCCAATCGCTGGCTTTAAATTATCTAACTCAGCCCAGAGCACGAGTGAATGAGTCTAAAGGCAAGCACAGGTTTCTTGTCATACAAGACAGCACCTACTCCAAGAACTTAATTCAGTCAGCACTTATGCAGAAGGAGCACTGTCAAATGGACACTCTGAGCACTCCTAGAGAAGTTCTCAAAAATGTCATTCCGTTAGAAAGCAGCAAAATGATGGCACATGGAGAACTGTCTCCAGAAGGTCAGCTGATATCAGTTGGTCCTGGAAACATGGGAAGTAATTTTCCTGTGTCTGAGTCTCGTGCTTGCAGCACAGAAGGCTCATGTGCAGAGCAGGAGCCGGGCAGTGAACACTCGCTGGATTGGCGCTACGCACTGTGCAGCTACAGCGACGCGTGTGCTGGAGATGGCGTCGGCTGCAAAGCACAGACACCTGCTGCTCCGGGAAACACAGAGGGAGAAAGTGATGGACCCGGCAGAAATGCTGCTGTTGAAACATCTGAGCAGAGCCCAGAAACAATTCTGAATGCTACTGCTGCTGAAGAGGGTCAGAATGAACCGACAGAGGTGGACGCCTCTCCTGTGTCTGTCCCAGGGCCTTCGGGACCACGCTGCACACCGAGGGAAGGTTCTGATGTCTCGTGCCAGAATGTCAGTGAAAGTGTTGTGCCAGTTCAGGCCACTGCATTGCCTGAGAGTTCAGATGTATGTGTGGGGAGAGGCTCTCCTTCAGAGAACGTGGCAGATGTAGGTTCTTGCTGCAGCGATACAGAAGCAAATCTCAGTTCTCCATTAAATTCTCCAGAAAAGAAGCAAAGAGAAGCAGGTGAATTTGAGGTGGGAAGAAGGGATAGCCGAGAAGAAGTCAGAGAGATTAAAGAGGTTTTGACAGCAAATGAAAACCAAACTAGTCATAGTCACTGTTCTGCCAAAGCTTCTACAGATGAACCTCTGTCAGATGGTGAAAAGCAAGAGCATAAGGAGGCTGAAGAATCCATACTACTCCAAACTGCTCTGTCAGAGGGGGGTCAGATGACAGAACAATTAAATAACAGTGACTCTTTGGGCCCTGATCCACAAACAGAAGATTCAAGTCAATTCAAAACCCAGAGCTCTGGAGAGAGGTCTGAGGAACCACAAAGACTGGTGGAAAACCAGGGCTGTGAAAGGGAAGAGAGCTCTGTGCTGAACACAGAGTGTGTTGCAGTGCAGGACTCGCCGGGAAGGGAGGAGAACCAGGGAAGTTTTTCTTATGGGGAAAAGTCAAAGACTGTAGCCTCAAAAACACTGGAGTCCATTGAAGAGGAGCTGGAGGTTGGACCACTGTCCTCAGGACCTGCTGAGGGACATACAGAGCCCAGTGCTCTGCAGTCCCACCCAGAGGCAGCTTCTGGGACATCATCTCCTAAAGGTACAATTATTGGATGTTTGTTTGATAACATGGATTGATAGCAAAGTCCTCAAAGAGTACTGCTTGAGTACTACTTACCAAGCAGGATTTGATAAGTGTGTCTGCTGGGAGGCTTTGGGGTAATAGCACAGGGAAGTGATTAAATTGTCATGTTCGTGGTGGGAAATTTAGCTTTCTCTTCACAGGTGGGTTTATTGTGGTACTTTGTTTAATAATTCTTTGCAAATTTACAAAGTTCCAGTGTAAGAGACTTTTAATTTCAGTTGATCTGATTGCTGGTGACCTCTGCCTGTTACATCCATGATGTGCACATTAAGGATGCACACAATAGCCGTGTGTGAGGTGAGAATGTCTAACTGCATAAGTCTTTCGTAGTTGAAAACTGGCTTTAGAAGGATGGTTGTGGCAAGAGGAAGCAGCAGTGGATGCCTCAGTAAAATACCAGCTGTGTAATATGACCTGAAGATCAACTAATTTGTGTGCTGGTAACTGATTTAGGCAGCAAACTGCAGAGTTGAGGGATTCCCCCCTTCTTCCCTCCCTTCCCCTCCAGCGTGCTTTCTTCAGCTTGATTATGTTTCAAGTAAGAGCTGTTTGACTGGAGTGGGAGATCAGAGAGAAATTAAGCATCTAACTTCAGCTCAGACCGAATCTTCAAGCAGGTATTTTCCCAGATTTCCTGATGCCTGTGCTCCTTCAGAAGGAGTTGAGGGGGCAATCCAGGTGCCTGCCTTTTGCACCAGACTGTACCAGGCAGTGTGTAACCGCACGGACACGGTGAGGGCTTTGCCCGGCTCTGCTGAGTCTGGAAAGCTGCAGTGAGATATGCAGATCACCCCGAGGAGCGTGTGTGTGGCGGGGGCGGGTGAAACGTGCCATTCCAGTTCCACAGCTCTCATTCCCTGAGACCCCTGGCTAGGAAAATCATCCAGCTTGAAATGTTGGATTGAGGACTCTTGAAACGGTTGGTGGTACAGACCCATGCTGCTAGACCACGTCTGCCCCTGTGGGCCAACAGATCCAGAGCTGGTTGTCTTGGGATGTGCTGCCAGGGTAATGCTTGCACTGTTCCCAAATTGTGTGGCCAAGAGCCTCCCTCAGTGCTGCAGCACAGCTCCATTTGGCTGCACACACAACTGCTTTCTCCAGTGTCCAAAAGTCACGTTTTACCTGATGTCTTGGCAACCTCCTAATGGAGCTAGATTAGTGTCCATTGATTAAAATAAAATTTCATTAACATCTGCACCAAAATAATCCCGTAGTTAGGCAAGCCCGTGGTTGCCAGGCATTTCTGATACTTTTGGAGTGACGAGCATTTCTCTTCTGTGAAATGGAGGGGTCAGCTCAAAAGTTGCTATTTCTGAAGTGTACGTCTCTGAGCATCTACCACAGGACCAGAAAAAAAAAAGAGATCCCCTTCTGCCTATCTGAGGCTCTTGGGGGATGTATGCCAGGAAATAACCGTGCTGTGGGTATCCATTCCTGACCAAGCTGAACCTGGCTTGACTTCATGTTTGCTCAGGACTGAGCCTCGGAAAACCTAGTCTGTGTTGAGTGCTGGGTGGACACTTTGCTCATGATTCCAGTGGCTGCTTGTTCATTATTCCCATCTCTTCTGTCTAAAATTAACCAGGTCCAGCTCGTTAGGAGATAAGTGTGATGTTCTCACTGCTTCAGAGAGTGAGTCTTGGCTGGTGCTGGAGATTTCAGCTATGTTGGACCCCTCTGGGGTACGTGTGGAGTTTGTTTTTAATGAAAGTCAATATAAACGATTCTGGGGATTTGGCTGAAATAGGTGACATTCATGGCTCAAGTCTGTTGGTGTTAAACTTGGGCATTGCAGTTTAGAAAAAAACCTGCCCTGTTATCTCAGTGTTTTGTAAGGCAAAAGGAAACTTAAATCACCAGGAAAACCGACCAAACTAAAGAAACAAACTCTTTAAGGCAAAGGGGAGCTCAACTATCTGTTAATGCTGGGAGTATGTTAAACACTGTAGCTGGCACTATAAAAAGCTTAATCCATTCAATTACCTTTGATTGCTTTGAGATCCAAACAAGCCATCCCCTTATCTAGCCCCATTAAACCCTCAGAGATATACTAATAAGATAATTCAGAGATAAAATTACAATGTGAAACAAATGTCCTACAAATGGACTTTTCTTTTCCAGCCCGTCAGTGTGTAGATGAGTTAAATTCTCTGTAACTGTGTCTTGTTGGGGTCATTTTGCTACTATGATTGGAAACTGTGGGTATCTTGCCTAAACTATAAATAACAACAAAGCTTAAGCTGTACTGGGTCAATTCAGATCTGCAGTTCACACCTCGGCAGCAGTGGGCAGAGGCACAATTTGCTCTATGTGAGGTGGAGGATCTTGCTTCTTACAGCAGATATTGTAGATTATGTCAAAGTACCCCTGCAGAACTAGGGCATCTGAGTTTGCTGTGTCTGCTGTTTTCCTTGTCCCTTAACTCTCTCCCTTTCATTCCACTCCCAGTGGGCTTGTTTTCTGCACAAATATAGTCTTATGTAGAAAGACTTAGATATAAATAAAACGAAGTCTAACTGAGTGTCAAATGTGAACTGTTTTGAGTTGGTGGCTTTAAATTTACACTGGTTCCATTCACAGATAATGTGACTGCTGTTTTTTTCCTAATGACTAACATCTAAGTGAAAGCGAATTTTGAAACTTTGCAGCTCTGGAAAGAATTCCTCTATTTCGTGGGTGGAAAGTATCTTGATATTCAAGAAACAGGCTGAAAAGCCACAGTGGGGCATATTCAGCAGCACCTGTTAGGGCGTTCCGTTCCTGCTCCCAGTTCCTGTGTGATGTTAGCGCAGATGATTCTGGTGCCCGGGCAGTTTGCAGGAAAAATGCTAATGTCTCTTTGAAATGCACACAAGCAAATCCTCCTCTGCCACTTCCTTAACCTCGGGGAGGGGTGGAACCTGCAAACACGGCAAATTCAGCTGTCCCTGTTCTCAATTTGCTTTTAGATGTAATCCTCCGCCTTCTCCAATTTCCGCTTCAGTAAGTGCCTCCGCCCCGGCTTGCAAATAACAAACAGTGTGCTGAGGCCTCTTCCAAAGAGGTGGCGTCTGCAGATCTGAGCTGGGCCCCAGCAGCTTAGGGAAGAGGTTCAACTGGGCAAGATGGACAGTTTGGAGGCTGCACAGCTCCAGTGAGGTTTCCCTAGGGCTGTCCCAGTACCAGGACTGTGCTCAGTGGGCTGAGCAAAAAAAATGCTTTTCTCTTCTAGCTTTTGGGAGCTGCTGCCTCATTCCGAAGAGATATCCAAGGCAGGGTTGTCATGTACATTTGTGGAATATACATGGATATATATGTGGAACATTGCTATCTATATTCCCTTTCTTGTCCTCTTTAAATGCCACCTTTTGATCCTCTTTGCAGGCTTTTGTCATTTAATACAGATTCTTTTACTACAAGCTGTGTGGTTCTGCTTATTGCCAGGCCTTACAGCTCCTTGCTAAGGTGATTCTATGTTCTCCTAGAAAATCTGTCAGCCCATAATATGAAAGCTTTGGGCATGACTTACATGACTCTGTGATGCTCAAGAAACCTTGTCTGTGGGAGATCAGTGCCCCTCCAAAATGCTGCTTCAGGAAGATCTGCGGCGTTGTCTCAAGTGAGTGACCTCTTGCACCACTGGGAAGTGGAGGCTGAGGTAGCCTTAGGGACACAGTGGAGCTCTGGTGTGGCCCAGAACTGGGCAGAGCCCTGAGGCCATCCTAGCAGCTTAGTGGCCAAATGCAGCAGATGCCAAACTTGGTGCCAGGGATGCTCCTCTCGAGGGGTGTTACAAAGAGGAACAAGCAGCTACTCCATCATGGCCTTGATGGGGCAGAGCCCTGAACCCCTCCCAGTTCCCCCCACTGTGGGGTGGATGAGCCATGCTGCTCAGGGCACTTCTCTCACCCACTCTAGCAATTTTGAAAGCAGTTCAGGCTAAGCCTCAACCTGTAAATCTCCTTCACTGCTAAAACTTGTATTGAAAGCCACTTCAAGGACTGCTTTGTTCCTGGTCCTGCTCTTTAATGAAGTATTGGAATCTGTTAGTAAATAAACTGAGTCAAGTGGCAGCATTGTTGATGCAGCAGGAAGGTAGGATGGTTGAAGTCAATTTTAAGTAGCAATTAAAATGTCTGACTTCATAGCAAGCAAATAAATACTCCACTCTTATTTTCCTGAAGAAAGGTTGATATTTGTGTTAGTAGATACTGAAGTATCAGTGCAGTATATATAGCCTTTTCTTTATTACAGCTTTCTGCAAACACTGGGATAGCCAAGCTGGGTACTTAGGATGCTAAAGATGTATTATTGAAGGCATACCATTGGCTTCTAATTCTTGTGGTGTTCAGAAATGGGGAATAATACTTCTTACACAGAGGGTAGATACTTTTTTCTTCTATCCAGATAATTTTGCATGAAAATTAAAACGTGATAAAACCAGCCTTAGTTTCCATGTAGTAGCCAGAATATTTAATTTTAGAATTAACCTATTCTGATAACTTGTACTTTAGAGCTGAGGTCTCAGACAAAGGAAGCATTCTCTGTAGTTCTCGAGCAGGAGCTGATTGGTGTAATCATCCTGTTCTTCAGTGCTTTAAAATAGGCTTCTGACTTTCACATTAACTGTTAATTAAAAAAGTCTGGACGAGCAGAACAAGGTCTCTTTGGCTAATTTCCAGCTGATTTGTCAGCCTCAGGTTGACTTCATATTTTCAGGAACTAATCTGAAAGTGGTGTTGGGGGAGTAATTGTGCTGTGATGGAGTTGCCCTCCCTGTCAGAAGCTGGTTTATCACTTCAGCAGGCTCAGGCTGCTGGAGCTCAGCCAGGGACTTGCACCGTGCCAGACTTCCAGGCTGTGAGCAGACATGTACTGCTTGATATGTTACCTTTAAAAATGGCTTTGACTACAGTAATCCTGATCTGAATCGAGCTTTTGTACTTCGCAAACTTCACAATAACCTGGTTTATTTTGTTAGAATTACAGCAGTATTGATGCTCTAACCAGTTCTGGAACACGCCTGCGGCTGGCACGAGGACTGAAGGAGCTGCAGAGTGCTGGGGCTGGAGGCACGTCCCTCCCCCATCTCAAACTTTCATGGGACCTTTTGGGTGGAACTCTGCTTGAGCTTCTGTTTGCTGCTTGTCTTACAGGGATGGTGTCAGAAGGGACAGAGCTGGGAAAAGAAGCAGCTGGCACAGATGTGTTGAAACCAGCGAGTAAAGTCAGTGCCCCGGAGGAAACTTCGACACCAATTACTCCCCCGACATCCCCAACTTCTGGAACTGCCTGGGGTGGTCACTTTGCACCTACCATAGTCAAGGATGTGAACCCAGAAGTGCTCAGGAGTGGAGTTGCCTACCTGCCTGGTGAGTAGCTGGGCCAGAATGCTGGGAAATGTGGCTTGTAGGAGGGTAAGGGAGATAAACCTCTGTTTGCAGCGCTGGAGACCTGGTGCCAGTTCCATTTCTTTCACCCCAAACTTCTCCAGAAGCAACACTTCTTGAATCCTCTAAAGGTTCAGAATGGGCAGGACAGGAAGTGGAACTTCCCTCCCATGAAAGTAATGTTAATTTGCTCCCAGGAGTCTCAAAATGTTAACCAAGCACATATGAGTCAGAAATGCCAAATCTCTGGGCTCATACCAGGAGTTCAAAAAGGGAAGAGTGAGGGTGCACCTAATAATGGGCTGGTGGGCCTGACATCAGACCTGGTCAGAACAATAGGAACTTGATTCTCTTGGTAGATAATTAAAGGATAAGTGTGTAGAAGATGCTGTGTGACAGGGCTCTTGAAAACCAGTTTTATTCTTGGTAATTAGAAGTTTGGTTGGTTAAATGTAGCTACCTGGATATAATAGATTTTTAGAAAACATGACACACAGTGTTGAAAGGAATATCCAGTGAAGTGTGGGTGAGCAGTGTGTGGGATGAACGATAGTGTAGCTAAATAGCAGATGACAAAAGTAGCTACCGAGGGAGGACTCCCCAGAATTGTTCTGCCAAGATCAAGTCGTAGGTCAAACGTTATTCAGTGTTTGCATCTGTTACAGCAGCAAGTATCAAATGGCTGCAGATAAAACTTCTGCATGGGACAAATATTGACAGAGGGGTGAACAAAGCTGAGGCTGTTGGACAGAGCAGCCAGGATCACTTGGTGGGCAGGGCCCACACAAGACGTCTTTGTGTTTAACCAAACATGAAGTAAAGCAGAGGGAGTGAGATCTACCTCTCCAGTGAGAAACAGCATTTGGCAGCATCTGTGTAAGGAGCCCCTGTGGGCTTTTGTCCTTCCATAGCCAGCAAGAGGGTTGTCCACTGTGGAGCAGGAGGATCCTTGCATTTGATCAGCTCAGGAGCCACGTGCGAGTTGGGCAGAGAGCAGAGAAGAGGTCAGGCAGACCTGTGCAAGGTGAAGGAGTTGGGAAGGAGAGCAGAAAGGCAGCACAGGGATCTCCCACTCAGTGCTAGGGCTGCAAGACCAATTTTGACCTCAGATGTGTAAAGGGAAGGGGATGACTAAACAGATGAAGAGAGTGATTTTTAGCTCTGTGTACTTGAGATGCCTCTCAAATAGTCATCTCTGCTGCTGTGGGCAATCCTCACACCTAAGGGAACACACTCACCACTCAGTTTAATGTTTTATGTTAGTCATTGCTAATGATACAATAATTACATCAGAAAGAGTAACTTTTATAATGAATAGTGAACAAGATCTAATTAATAAACTAGTAGCTGATGGAGTTAGCTGAAACTTTCAGGATGGGTTCAATTCTGCATTCTGCTCTTGAATGATCTTGATTGTGCCACTGTTGGAGACCTAGCCCTGGTGGCTGTGGTTGCTTTTTTGACCTGGTCAGGCAATTCCCAGACTACTATGTGGAAATTCAAGGTTTAGTCTAGTTCTGGTGAGGCCCATCCTCCCTGATGGACAAAAGATGTTTCTTCAGAGTTAAAAAGTTTTTACTGAGACTGGTTATTGAGCCATTTTTCCAGTAATTGAGTGCTTTGCTTTTTTAAATTTTATTTTGTGATGATCCCCTTATCTTATGAAACAAGGTATATTAATAAGCTTTTTCTAATTTCTTTCCATCTCTTTGAGTATGCAGGGTCCAGACCACAGTATTTCAGAATAATAAAAGTTCTCCTGAATCACACAGATGATGAAAGATTTTTGTTAGCAGAGAAAGCCTGTGTCACTGTTTTGGTCCCTGGGAGGGAGAAGGCCCTGCTTTGAAATGATACCCATCTGTGTCTGTGGCCCTTACTCAAACCACATCCTAGTGACAGACTGAGATCACTCCAGGGCACTTTTCCATGCGTGGGTCTGTCCATCTGTGTCTGTTTTACCTGTCAGCTTTCATGCTTGTCCCTGGGATGGGGAGAGAGGTGGTGCAGGACAGTATCTCCTGTGGTAGCAATATAGTTCAGGAGAGACAGAAAGACGCAGCTTTCTCTAAGCCTCTGGTTTTCTCTTGTGCTTGGGATTTTCCCTCCTGACTCTTTCTCATACAATTTGTATGACAGGAAATGGCTCCTGTTCCTATGAATTACTTTTCACACAATAGACATGTTGTCCCTGCTGGTCTCCAAATCACTTACCTTGCCCCTGACCCGTGTGAGTGCTGTCACTTGAGCAGCCTCACTCCAGAGACACTACCTGCTTTTGAGTGGCAGAGGCAGCTCTGGGTCTCCAAAGTGGCCCACCTGCTCTTTACCTCTGCATCTGGAGAGGAGGCTGGATGTAATTCCAGAAC